CATGGCGGCCCCGGCCGCGGCCCCGGCCCGGCGGCGGCGGCGGCACACGGTGTGCATGGTGTCGGACTTCTTCTACCCCAACATGGGCGGCGTGGAGAGCCACGTGTACCAGCTGTCGCAGTGCCTGGTGTCGCGGGGCCACAAGGTCGTGGTGGTGACGCACGCGTACGGCGCCCGCCGCGGCGTGCGCTACGTGACGCGCGGCCTCAAGGTCTACTACCTGCCGCTGCGCGTCATGTACAACGAGTCGACGGCGACGACGCTCTTCCACAGCCTGCCGCTGCTGCGGTACATCTTCGTGCGCGAGCGCGTGGCCGTGGTGCACGCGCACAGCTCCTTCTCGGCCATGGCGCACGACGCGCTCTTCCACGCCAAGACCATGGGGCTCCGCACCGTCTTCACGGACCACTCGCTGTTCGGCTTCGCCGACGTCAGCTCGGTGCTCACCAACAAGCTGCTGGCCGTGTCGCTCTGCGACACCAACCACATCATCTGCGTCTCCTACACGAGCAAGGAGAACACGGTGCTGCGCGCCGCGCTCGACCCGCGCATCGTCTCCGTCATCCCCAATGCCGTCGACCCCACCGACTTCACGCCCGACCCCTCGAGAAGGGACGAGAGCACCGTGACCGTGGTGGTCGTCAGCAGGCTCGTTTACAGGAAAGGTGACGGGGGCCGTGGCGGGAGAGGACTTTGGGCTTTGGTTCRTAGCTGGTGCCTGCAGCGCGGATTAAATGGGAGATGGGATGTTTAGTACCATGAAATGGTACATTTCAGTTTGCTCGCTTGGGAGTTTGAGTCTTTTGACATCTGTAAAATGGAAGGTTTGGGTTGTATCAGGAGCAAACTACATATTTTGTTAAGAATGTTTCTACTGCTGTTTTTAATCAAGCCATAAGTATTCCTTTTCCTTTTCATATTTGTCTCCTAATRAGTCAGAAGTTGTCTTTTATCATACCCTTATGTCTAGCAATACAACTGCCCTTTAGTGTACCGTGGCTTTCCCTCCTCCCTCCCTCTCAAGGAGAGTTATAGCCGTAGGCTACATGTTGCTAAGTCCTAAAATCAAATGCAGTAATGGCTTGCTTTAAATTTTGTACTTCTAGGTATAGATTTGCTAGGTGGTATAATTCCTGAGCTCTGTCAGAAATATCCAGACTTGCATTTCTTGGTGGGAGGAGAAGGACCAAAGCGAATCGTTCTGGAAGAAGTCCGGGAGAGATACCAGCTACATGACAGGTTTGTTCTGTGCATGTTTGTCCTTTAGTGTGCTCTGGGATGGGGAGAGAGCAGCAACTCTCTTCCTGTCTCTTTCCCCTCGCCTTATATTGCCCCCCAAGAAAGAAATCCCCAAAAATTATCCTGAAGGAATCATTAAGGACAAGGCAGATAGAATCACTGTCATAAGGACAGACCTGTGGGAACCTTCAGATGATTCAGGGCACATCCAAATTTATTCACATTCCTCTCTGAAATTGTGGTGTTCAGGTTACTTTTGTTATATTGCCATGTAATGATGTATGGTGTTAAGCACTACTTGGTGTGCAAACTGCTCAKGAGGATGGCTGCTAATAATTTTGGAACCTTTTTCCTTGCTGACATTTCTGCTTTGTTTCATTCTTGTACTTTTAATGGTAGTGCCTATTTAGGATGACTGTGTGTGTGTGTACACAGATGTAGATGCTACTGTGTTASTAAACTGTGMATATGATGTTTTATATTTCATGAGATTTTTGTTTTGTTCTTATTCAAAACTGTTTTTTAATAGCAARTAGTTTAATTTTCCCTTTTTTTCTTCTAAACACAAACTATTTTTCTTTACTCCCTCCAACCAAAAATTCATCAAAATTAGGTAGCCTCAGCTATATCTAGTTATTCATCTATATKCTAGAATACTTTGTTCCTAGTTTGCATTTTAGAAAATCTATGGACAAACAAAACCAACTTCTGTCATTTGAAGTGAATATATAATGCATRGTGATCAGGTGAATAACATCCAGAATTGCCTGTTGCCCATTTGCCTGCTTTGTTGCCCAGGAAAGGTTCTGGGCAGCCTTTTGTTAAGACCACCCTCACAACTGCTTTCACTTCAGAGACTTTCACTCTAGTTTTCTCTTGTGTCACGTGTTCTCCATCCCCCACTGCAGGGCCTCTATCTCCTGTTCCTCATTCTGTACTGCACTCTGATTATTGCTTCCTCAGCTTCCCCATGGCATGGAAGATAAAATTGTCCGTTAGTATTACTGTTCTCCATCTTCTGCTTTCCCAGTGTCAACTCAGAATAATATAGGTCCTGATCACTGATGTCCTAAACGTTTTCGTTTTTTTTTTTCTCCTTTGAACTTTTAAACTGAGCAGATTTCACAAATTCTTATACTGCATCCAGCCAAAGAAGTGTGACAAATCTTATTTATGAACTGCATAAAGCAATGTTGTTGCAGCATAGTAGCAGTGTTTGGAAGGCAACTGCCATCAAAACAAAACAGAACAACCTTCCTCCCAGCTTCCAGCTTTTTTTTTTTTTTTTTTTTTTTTTTAAGTGTGAAAATAAAAAGCAGAGAAATGTAAAGTTACAAGAATAATAGTGTGTGACTTCTCTGGGTGCTTCTGTGATGTGGAAATTATATGTTTTTCAGTATGTGGTAATATTGTATAGCATGTTTAGACTGCACATCTAGTGGCTATCCTGTACTCTTCCTTATGTACAGGGTCCGTCTCCTGGGAGCCTTGGAACACCAGGATGTTAGAAATGTCCTAGTTCAGGGGCACATTTTTCTCAACACTTCCCTCACGGAGGCCTTTTGCATGGCAATCGTGGAAGCAGCAAGCTGTGGCTTGCAGGTAAGGGAAGACGTTGACTCTGCAGGGCGTGTGTGAACACATTTTGAACAAAGCTCATGGCTTAGTAATGTGTTCTTGGGACACTGCATTTCATCCGAGGCCTTTACGAAGGTGAGCAAGTACTGTCTCTGTTGCAGATCACCCAGAAGCTGAGCCGSAAGGGTTAACCGAAACGGCTCAAAGTGCCAGGAGAAACTTGTGCAGAACTGTGAATAACATGTAGGTCTGCTAACTCCCAGTTCTCTGAACTAACCAGAGTGTCTCTCCAAAATGCTCTTTTGTATGTACTGCTTTACAGCATTTTGGGGTAGTTGTTCTGCCTAAASTCTTCCTTGGACATTATTTAATGAGAATTTGGAGAAAAAAAAATGGCTGGCATATTTGCCTTACCATATAGGGATTCCAGATAGAGGAGAGGGAGAGAGGTAACACTGAAGCATTTGCACCAATGCCCTTGTTGGCTAATAAATAGCTCAGATTAGCTGCTCAAAAAAAGAAGTCTATAAAGAACTGAGATTGCCATGTTAATGTCCAATGAAGCTTTTTTTTTTTCCTTAAAGTAGACTGCTGAGAGTATCTGGTATACAAGAAGTACAGAAATGAGAGAAATTTTCTTCTCTAGAGTTGGGAAAGTTCTGCAATGTTCGTATTTTTTTTTTGCCCACTGTATACAGATTATAACAAAAGTCTTACCAGCATCTTACTTCCCTTTTAAAAATAATAATTCAATTTAGAATTACTGAACTTTTAGAGAAATTGTTGTATATATGCATATTGCAAATGTTCAGTAGCCCAGAAAAAAGTTAGAAACCCATCCAGTTGAAGATGGATGAGGTAAAACTGTCCTTTCCAAGTACACACTGTAGTTTTATAGTTTCTTTGAAGCACTATAGAGCAAAAGTTCAAATGGAATTAAAAGAGATTTAGTTGCATGTTAAGACAGACATTTTAAGAAAGGTGACGGTCTCATAGATAAAGTATTATGTTACCAAAGAATGTTACCAAAGAATGATTTCATCAGTTTTACCAAAGAATGATTCTGAGTGTAGTTACAGGTAACCTGTTATGCTAGATTTTTTTTTTTTTCTCTTAAGATGTAGACCTTCAGTTCTTAGGAATTCCTGGAATATAATATCGATCTCTGCCTTCATGGCACCTAGTGACAAATATTTCTTTTTTCCACTCAAGTACTTCATCCAAACAGTGTAATAATAGTATCTCTGCACTTTGTTGTTATGTAGCCTCTTTGCTATTATTTTTTTTTCATGCAGCCTGTGCTATTGTTGTTGCTGTTGTTGTTTCTTTCAAAGGTCGTGAGTACACGAGTTGGTGGGATTCCTGAGGTGCTTCCAGAAGATCTTATAATTTTATGTGAACCCTCGGTGAAATCTCTGTGTGATGGATTGGAAAAAGCTATTGCCCAGCTCAGATCAGGAACATTGCCATCTCCAGAAACTATTCATAATAAAGTAAAGACATTTTATACATGGAGGAATGTGGCAGAGAGAACTGAGAAAGTAAGTGTAACTCACTTTTTCTTCTTAAAATGCAATTCAGAAAAGTATCTTCTTTGAAACATTACAGTGTACAATTTTCTTCAATTTCTTGATGAGCCTTCTGTCAATTACACTTGCTTTTGTTCCCAAATATACCTGCCTCAGCTAGATTTTTTTTTCTCTATTTGTATGCCTTTTATGCCATTACTGTTGGTAAACATAAACAGATAGTGCCATAGTGCCTTTAGTTACATTAGTTACATTTCTATTCTCTTTTTTTTTTAAATGAATTTTTCACAATAAAAAGTTCTCCTGGTATAACTGGAAAACATGCTTTATCAGATATATGAAAAAGAAAGAGTTCTTGACACAGCTTTATGTACAACACAATAAGTGGTTTAGAAAAATAGCTATGTTCTCAATAGCAATAAATGTAATTGACTATACATTAACTGTGAATGTAATTAAAATAATTTGCCAAACTTCTAAAGTCACAGAATTTGAACTGTACTTTGGTGTGAAAACTCTGCAGTGAATGATGGATATTAGCTGTAATGCTATTATCAGCTCCCATGAAGATGTATCACTTCTGCTGCTGAATCATGTGTAGCTTACCCTACTCTGGGATGTTGATCAAAAATCCCTCTCTGCCCCTCTCTGCCCTTCTCTTATAAGCCTCCTTGAAGAGATATCATGTACAACCAGTATCTGATTTTCCTTTCAAATGCCCTCTCTACAAATCATTTCATGCTTTTTTTTAATACTCTTTTTTTGTATGTGTGTGTGTGTGTAGCTACAAAGAACATTTCAGCTGCTGTGTCTTTTTTGTATTACCACTGAGGACTCTYCACTTTTTTTAAGAAAGTGAAAACCAACTCTGTTAAGAAAACGTTAGTGTAATTAGGAGAGGAATGCATAGAACTTATTTAATGTGAAAGAAAGTGTTGATTAACTTATAATCAACATCTCTGTAGGATGAAGTCAGTTATAGTCTAAAGGAGACAACTCTTTGTATACTTAAAGACTTCTTGAATTATGTATTATAGATGTTTACTTCTGTGACTTGCAGGACTACTGTTTTAGTGAGTATAGTTAATATGTATATCAAGAACCCTGATAGGATATATCTGATGGTCATATTAATTGACTTTTGCTATGGTAAAGATTACTAGCGTTTGTTTAAAGAAAAGGGCAGTATCTTGTTCTGATTCATTTGGTTATTTAGATGCAGAGATCGGATTGCCTGCTCACCTGCTAGTTCCATCTTTGGCCTGAGAGCAGAGTAATTGTTTAGAATCTTTTCTTCTGGCTGATGTGAATATGAGATTAGAAGCTAATTGAAATAATTTTGAAAAAAAATTTTGCACTACTAGATGAAAGCTAAACTTACTGCCTTGCTATTTAATAAAACACTTGAGTTCTGCCATTTTCCTTTTTCTCCTCAACAACTGCGCAAATTCATGAAGCTTCTACAACAGTAGTTAGGAGCAGGTAATGCATTTCGCACACCGACAGCAAAGTACTGGGTTTTTTTGAGGCAACGCGAACAACACTGTCTTAAGATGATGTCTTTATCTTCTCCTTTAGGTGTATGAGAAGGTTGCAGATGAAGTGGTTTTATCAATGAGCGAGCGAATCAACAGACTAATATCTCACTGTGGCCCGGTGACTGGTTTTATTTTTGCCTTTTTTGCTGTTTTGAACTTCCTTTTCTTGTTGTTTCTGAGGTGGATGACCCCAGATTCCTCTATTGATGTTGCAATAGATGCCACAGGTCCTAAAGGTGCATGGACTAAACAGTGTTTTCCTGGTAAAAAAGAAAAAGTTAAAGAAGTCTTGAATTCCTAAAATGCTCCAGAAAGAGAGAGGGAGAAAAAAGCATTGTTTGCTAAATGTTTAAAGCTTGCTAATGGAGACATTATTTCAGAAATTCCTCAGTTTCTTTCTGAAGTTCTTGGAAAGAACTTAGTTAAATGTGCTACCTCAATTTAGGATTAAGTTTAATTTAGTTTTGAACTCATGGAAATTTACACACCTCTATTGCATCAATAGGTGCACACTTCTAAGTGCATCTGTTTTGCACTTAAAGCTGGGAGAGAACATGGGTTTTCACAGCTTAGTGTCAAAAGTCACTGATACAAAAGTGCTAGTCTTTTCTCCACAACTGGAATATTATGTAAAGAGTGAACATAAACTTTTGTGGTATTTGGGAAATCAAAACAAAACTTATTAGCGTGACAGCCTTCTGCTTGCACAGCTTTATTRTTATTTTATTATTTTACAGTTCTTYCGTTCTCTGACTGAATTAGATCAACCTGTTGCTATGCCACAAATTCATTATGGATTTCTGGTATTTTAAGAAGTATTAAATTTGTCCCATTCACTTATGCGTATGAAAGTGATGTAAACCATATGGCTCTATTTCTTAAATACATAGGTGAAGGAACAATGTTGTTTAGAGATGAGCATAGTAATGATACAGCCTTCAGAATCAGCTTGGGCCTTGAAACCCCCTCCAGGAGGCTCTGCCAAGKTGTGGAGTGACACACACGTGAGTGATGGTGGGGGGCGGTCTCTAAAGGGCTAGACAAGCACCATCATGTTCTTCCTTCCACTTGAGATGTAAATATCACCTCAGCCTGTCCCTGTGAGGGACKTCATTTGGTGTGTGTGATCACATCCAGACCTCATCAAAGGCTCTGTCAGGCCAGTTCTGTAAGCTGAATCTTGCTGGGGAAAGTATCCCTTAAATGGAAATGGTAAATAGGTACACTCGTACCTAACAAATAGGGCTGCTTACAGTCTGCAAGAAGCCACAGTTAMGGTGCAGATATTCCTGTGGCAACAGCAGGAATGTGTGAATGGGTGAGAGGAGGCAAAGAGGACTTCCCCCACTTGGTATCAAACGGCTCTCACTAATCTCCTTGATGCACTGAATTAATTTCTTACAAGCATAACTGAAGCCTGGAAGTCTTTATGATTTTATGACCTTGCACATAGTGTAGTGTTGGACACTGTGTTAATATGAAACTGTGCAATATGAAGATTGTTTCCAAGCCCTTGAAGTGCAGTATTTAAAACACAACCTCTGTCAGTGTCGTCTTGTTTCTGTTGACATGTAAGTAGCCTAATTTCTGCTCTTTTATAATTTCATCAAAATTATTTTCATGAAACAAATATAAAGCAAATATATGCCATATACGAGGTCTATTTTCTTTTATTGGAATTTTTTAGTCTTTGGTACTTAACATACAATATGTATTGTCTTACAACTTGAACTTTTTAAACTCCACATTAAAAGTGGAAATCAGCTAAAATGGTGCCACAGATTACTGATAACTAGGTGGAACTAAGGTAATATTTTATTTCTAAAAGCCTTCCTCACCTCTCAGCTCCTTCCTCCTTTTTTTTTATTTTCTTTTGGTAAAGCTACAACTTTTTAAAAATACTGATAGTCATTCCAGGGACGTGTTTTGTATGGTTTTTTAAAATATATATGTGTATATATATTTTTAATTGTGTTTARATTCTTCTTTCTATTCCCTCTACAAAGACATATAAGTGCAGACAGGAAAATGAGTCTCTATAAAAATATTTTATTGCTTTTCTTGTGCAGGTCATTGCATTTTTAGGTATAACATAATAACATATAACATAACCTTGTTACAGTCTTGTCTAATTTACAGATTATCTAAAAGTTTACTTACCACGTGATTAAAGCATAAATATTTCATAAAATGTATGATCCCACATAGTCAAAAATTGGAAATGTACTCAAATATTGCTGCTTCTCATGCCTGTTTTTTGGACCTCTTCTAGTAAATATAACTGACTTAAAATCATTTTGCATAAGATATCAGGAAAAAGAAAATCTATTAACTGGTTTAGCTACAGCTCTACTGTTTCTCAAGCAATGCAATGTATGTTGCCCATAGCAGGGCAGATTCACTTGCCTCCCTAATGAGGTTGAAGTAAAGGATGATGCAGTCGAATCATTCACGAGCTGTCAAAAGCAAAGAGCAGCAATGGGTGAAATGGAAAAGTTTAAATGAAAAATGGTAACTAAACAAGTGGGCAGGATTAATATATTTTAGAAATATATRTTCAAGAATTGAATAAAATAACCATTAAAAATGAAAATATTTCACTTGTGCTTATGTGCAACACTTGATCGTTGTGAAATGCTAAGAACTTTTACAACAGAGGGGATGATACTGAGTGATGTCTTGCATGGAGCAAGGCCTCATGTGTGGAGGAGGAGCGGGGATTACCCAAACCCTCCTATTTAGAAGCCATGTTGCTCCCTGTCGTAGAAGGGACCACATATTGCGTCTGGAAGTGGTTTTACCCGCTTTATTTCAGCGATGGGAGTCGCAAGCGGATCTGCAGTGAAAGCCCATTCCACAGGCACAAGGGAGAAGTTGATGGTTCCAATACCTTACACACGTACACTGTGAATGGATGTGGAGATAGCATGTTGGTGACTGAAAACTTGATATTAAGCCAGAATAAAGTAGCATGTAAAGTATGAGGAAGAGAGTCATCTTCCAAATGGTTTATTAGGAGATGTGGATATGTCTGTAACTASATGACTGTACTGTAACGTACTTATTTTTGTGCTCGAGTTTTTCTGTCTTTTAAAAATAAACTTACTTTCCCCTTTTGATACTAATTTCTCTAGTCCTTTTCATATATGTTTAGGCTTATAAACAAGTAATTATAATGTTGCGTCTTGGTGATGATCTGGCAAAACACAGACAATCTAAAGAGGGTAAAGAGGTTTTATGAACAAACTTTGCGGATTTTTTTTGAAGTGTTGTCAACACCCTTTCTCCACCATCCTTTTGGGCACTCACCAGTGCCTTGAATCGTACAATTTCCCTAATTACTGCAGCAGTGATGTGGTCGCTTTTGGGGCTGGCTGCACTTCCAGCAAGCCTGCAGAGGCTGCAAAAGTTGGAAACAAGGCTGGCAGAGGGGCTGCCCGTGCTGCTGTTCCCAGGGATCTTGGCCTCCCAGGACAAGGGATAAGCCCTGGCACAGGCCAGGGCCTGGCGGGCTGGAGCGCAGCTCGGCAGGGCCCGTGTCTGGGGCCTGCGATGCAAGAGGCAGCCTGAGCAACGTGCTCTAACCCGCCCTGTTGGACCAGGCAATGCAGATGGACATGTAGGGAACAACACTGAAGGTAAGCTATGGTTATATGTCCAAATACATCATTGTACTATAATCATGTTTTTTTTTGTTATTGTTTTTTTTTTTTTTTTCCAGTAAATTTAACAGATGAGATTTTGGGGTTTTTGTTGTTTTGTTTTGTTTTTTGACTTGCTTCAACACTGGTATGAGGCAGTGTGGATACTTGTGTGGAATTCACTGAACTTTAACCACATATAAGCCAGTCACCTTGTACAAGYTAGTTACTTGAATTCACTGTTTAATCAAGAGTGACTGGTAAAATACATTGGGAATGTGAGTCATATGCTAGCAGAGGTGTTGAAGACAAGATAGTGCCAAGTGGCTTGCTGGAAGAGCATGTCTTCATGCCTGGACAGCAGAAGTAGTTTACAGATGACTAGACCTTACACAGAGTTATGGGTGAGGTGGGTTATGTGTTAGATGAGATGAAATCTCTATCTGCTCAACGGAAAGCAACCCGTGAGTCACTTGCACATATTGCTTTTTAAACGTGGGAGTGTCGTAACTGATGATCTAAGGAGTTGGAAAAAAATAGGCTCTGTAGGAATCAGCTTTGTTCTGGTCTCTTCCCTCAGAGATTATGAAGAACTTCTGTGTCCCGAATCTCTCCTATTTTTCCAGTTACCTTTGATTTGATTTGATATTTGATACTGTAACTGTCTCAGCTAAATGCATAGGAAATAGACTTCTATATTTCAGGGATTGGCAAACATAAAAATTGTCTTGCAATTTGTTTGAGAAGAAATTCTTGCTGATCTTTATTTCCTTGTCAAATTCTTCATGTCATATCTGATTTATATGTCATGCTTGACTAAAGGTGATCTTTAATGAAAATGTGTTGCCTTCTAAGATGGTCTGCTTTTCTTTCCCCTGTGCTAATTCTTTGAATGTTTGTAAATTAAGGCTATTTAAGGATTAACTTCCCCTTTGTTTCGTGGACCTAGTTAAATTCCTATTCATTCATCATCTCTTGATGACTTTAGTGCAGGTTTAGCATTTCTTCAGGGTACTTTTGATTTGACAATAAAAAATTGCAATCAATCTGTAATCCAGCAAAAGCAATCCATGAAGTAGTTTAGGTATCCTTCAGAAATTCTGAGTAAGACATCTTTTTTTTTCTTTTTTTATTTTAAACTAACTTGTGTTAACATGTGCTCTCTATCTCTGTAGATTATAAATCAGTTCCATAATCCATTCATTCATTTCATACAATACATGTAGTTCCTACACAAAGGGATAAGTTTTCCCTTTGGATAAAACTTTTTTTTTTTTTTAACTTTTGTTGTTTGTTATCCAGTGAGCAGAGTTCTTTCCTACTGATGTTTGAAAGTTTGAGATACTTCTCTTTTTTTTTTTCATGTTGAAGAATTTGAACAAAWTTAATTTGGCTGAAAAGAAAGTTAGGAAAGAAGGGATGCCTGCCTTCATTGTTGCTCCTCCGTTCTGCTTTGCCTGTTCTCRTGTCCGTCTTATTTTCAGCTCAATTTCTTTTAGTTCTAGAAATATCAGTTGTTCCATGTTTTCGCACACAATCTTACTATCAATTATTAATACTACACTAATACTAATTATTAGTTAATAATTAATACTGAAGGCTACCTCCTTCAGTATTAATACTTCCACCATCAGCCATTGGGATCTGATTAATATGTATAAATACCTGAAGGGTGAATGTAGAGAGGAAGGGGCCCCCTTCTCTGAGAAGRAATATAATGTGAATGTCTTTCAGGTGATATGGGCAGCTTTCATCTGCAAATGTGCTCAAGAACCTATTCTGATGAGTGTTTGRAGTGTATTTATGTTTGTTTCCTATATGGCACAAAATGTTAAAAACGGCTTAATACTTGGTATTGTTATTTAATATCAAATAGCCCACCCCAAATAAAAACAGAATATATTTTTGGTAACTGAGGAACAGCAAGTTCTGAAGGGTTTAAAATAGATGTCATATGATATCAGTAGTATCTCAGTGCAACTTAGCAGACCCGAGAAACTATTCAAAGAGCAAACCAAAATGGAGGGCACTTCTATACTCCATGGTTTCACTAACATTTATTTTGCAATTTTTGCTTTATTTTGCTTCAAGCTTTTAATTAAGATTTCCTTGGCTCTGCTGACCCATTTCTATATTGTTAAAGGCAACAGAAAAGAGGCTGCCAGGATAGCAGAAGAGATCTATGGAATAGTCCCAGGTAAAGTAAAAATTTGGTCACTCTAACATTCAGATGTATAGTTGCTACCTTTTGGTAATGAGACATTTAATCATTGAGTTGCCATAAACTGAGGAGTCTGTTACTAAATGCATAGGGGAGATATCTTATCCTGGGGCGTCTTCTGTTTCTGAGGTCTTTGCAGTGTCAGTATGTGTTGGCATGTTTTAGGTGTGCAAAATATGAGACTCCAACAATTACTCAGCTAGAAGGAGGACAACATTTGCTCAAGTGGGTGGTGAATAAAAAAGAYTGTTCTAGGAATCAAGGCATCCTGTGGTGTTTGTGGTGTGGGTTACAGAGACTTTTAATAAATAGCTAGGTTTACTACCAGAGAATAACTAGGGCAAAGTTTTAATATGTGGATTTTCTGAAAGGAGATACTAGAGGAAGTGATTAATGACTTTATGAATCCAAGCCAGGAATCCGTTTTGTTAAACCAGACCATAACAATGAAAACAGCTAAAATTATTCGGAAAAGTAAAAGGCACAGTATTGTACTGTATTTAATAGGCCACAAGAGCTGCCGTCCCTTTTCTTTCTCTTTCTTTCTGAGTGTTTACCTCTGACRCTGCTTCACTGTCATAATAATGAATAGACAGGCATTAGCATGTCTAATTCTGCTAATTAAAAATGACACACTGTTTTATATTTAGTACTAATGAGCACATATTTTCCTACTGGAAGATTTGCATCAATCTTGCAACATCGCTGATGTGCAAACGTGACTCATTTTGCTGGACTCTTGTTTTGTGATGAATTGTTCCACCGTGAACAGGCTCCTGAACTGGGACTATTTTTGATGTGAGATGGCCACTAGAAACAAAACAACTAAAATCTGTCCAACAAAAATGCCCATGTGAGTGAAAAATGAAAAGATTTCTCACTTATACACAAGAGTGCCTATCTCTGGSTTGTAAACATATGTGCTGCTCTTTGGAATATAATCCCAATGATTTTATAGTGATTTGGTTTTTTGCTCTAAGTGCCTTCCCTTAAGTGAACTGTAGTCAGACACCCGACAAATGTACAGATTCTTATCTARATGGCTTCAAGTTCAGCAGACTACAATGTATTTTTATCTGCAAGTTGCCATTTGCAAGAAGCTATCAARGCTAATCTTTCAAAACACAAGGTCATGTGGGGCTCTTGCCCGTGCACTACATTGCATTTCAGAGGGAGTTTCACAGCCTTTTCTCTTTGCAGTGACTTAGTGCAGCAGCAGCAAAGCTGCTTAATTTCTCTGTAGAAATTTAGAAAAGAGACAGTAATTTCAGGCATGTCACATGTAGCTGTGAAAAGAAGATGCACCCCATACGGGATCTACATTTGCCATATGTTTCAGGGAGGTAGGTTGCTGTGGCTAGCATGACACCAGCATGTATTTTCACGGTGAGGCATGCGTGTGCATACACATGCACTGTAAATGCATGTGACAAGAGTTTGTGCATACTATATATTATGCATAGGAGTGCAAATAAGGCACTTTATTAAGTCGCTTTATTACCTGTTACCTTTGAATCTTCCTGCCCTAAGAGCCCTATTTTTCATTGCTTATAATGCCATCAACCACTCAGCTTTTTGAACTGAGTTTGTCTATTTCAGTTGCCAGCAACAGGAGAAATGTGCAAGTTTTKGGATATTTTCTGGCAAATATTTCTTTTCTTTTTTTCTTTTCTTTTTTTTTTTTTCCTCCAAACCCCGTCTTCTAGTCCTTGGCTCATTAAAGAAGCCCTCTTGATCCCTCCGTGGTCCTCATTTACAGTTACTTTGCCTGGTGAGCTCTACTTTATCCCAAAGGAGCCAGGTCACTGGCTGCGTCACTTAGTCTTTCAGTGCCAGCTTCCTGCCTTAGGAGGCCAAGAAATGGCTCCTTGCATAGCTATAAATAAAAGTAAAAGCTCCGTTTAAAGCTGTAACCCCATGTGTGCAAGCAAATCCCAGYTTGTGGCCAGCAAAAGGCAGGTACCATGGTGAGAAGTTGCTGGCTGTCAAGCCGGGGTGATGAATGACACTGAAAAGCTCCCACAAGTTTAAAAAACATTTGCAGGGTGTTGGGCTTTTCCTGGGAAAGCGCAGCTCTGCAAAGGCACCGTGGGAGGTTGTTTTCAGGGATCCCCTGCCTCCAGCCCTGCCTTAGCACTTTTGGGGTTAATAATTCTGTTTTTCCCCCTTTAATCTGCTGGTCAGGAGCATATTTAGGGGCAGCTAGGACATGGCAGCAAGCTCATTTTGGCTTTTATTGGTGTGTGTCCGTCCCTGTGTTTGTGTGGAGGAGATATGCCAAGTAGGGGCATATTTAGGAGGGAAARGGGTAGGAGGAAGGTAAAAACCCCTCATGGACACGCTGGAGACCAGTGGTACAAGCAGTGCAGGCAGGGAGGCACCTGCCTTAACCCCTGAGGGACACCCACCCCAGGGAGCCGCCTTCCTGCCTGGAATCGGGTCCTGGGCTGGGTCTGCTCCTTACAACTCCATAGGTAATCACTGAAATATGAATGTGATATCTCCCTTCTCTGCCCTTCCTGCACGGCGGTCCCTGAGCACGGCCGACTCCGTGATGGGGCTTCCTGAGCGCTGCGCTCAGCTAAACGAGGCCCAAAGCGAGGCCTCCCAGGCCCTTGGCTACAAGTCTCCAGGGATGTTTCTGCCCCTCTCACCCCTTTCTCCGTGCGTGCAAACATGTGGAATGGAGATGAATCACGCTTTGCATTCGCTCTGGTGTGTTGTGTAACTGAGGAATATTGAAGATGACACCGGGTTCAAATGCTATGCACATGGGGTTCCCATATAACACATTGTGAATACAAAACTGGGATTGCTTCTGTCCTATTGCACAGCAAACGCAGCCAGCCCTTGGAGAAATATTTACTATATGCTGTGCAGAAGTAAGGTTTTAACTGTTAATGCACAACAGGTAAATTTGCTATCCAGTGGAGCTGCAGTGACTTAAAGTTGGCTCACTGACTGTAAATACAGGCAGTAACTAGGTTAAGGAAAAACTTTTCATGTGAATAGATTAAGAAGAGAAAAGGGTGAATCTAGCCTGTACTAAAGTCTGCAGAGTTCTAGAGCTCAAGGGATTAGGAAAGAGTAGTGAATCCTCAGGCAGAATTTGTTTCTTTCATGATTTTTTTTTTTTTAATCTTCTAGTGAGTCAGAAGATGAGACCTATAACATGCAAGTCTGACTTGGAAGATATTATTTRTGAAATTTTCAGTTCAGGAAATAAAGCTGCCGAGGACATGCTGGAATTCATTTGATGGACAAATCATCCCATGAGGATGAGCCTCTTAATAAAGTGTAAAGGAAGCTGGGAAATGACTTGTGACAAAAGCTCCCTGGAAACGAGAGAGGCCAAAATATTTAGAAATGGGGTTTGCAGGGGTCTGAAGTGCCTTGTTGAGTCTCAGCTGCATTTAACTCATGGTCTTTGCTGGAGCAATGTGGCCTTTTAGTAGCTTTAATTTTAGTGGCTTTGAGAGTTCTGCCCATGATCTTTTGCTTAAGCACCCTAACTAGAGCCCTCCTTTCTCAGAAGTGCTGAGCCTCTGGCTGCTCCATGGAAATCAAACAGTTTCCCCACTGATGGTAAGCTTGGTTGTAGGGCCAGCCCARCCCGGTGGGTTCCTCGGGATCTCGCTTGCGCTGCGCTCTGAGCTGACCTGTGCTAATTTGCTCTTCTAGGCAGCTGGGCAGACAGGTCACCGCTGCACGATGCCGCCTTCCAAGGACGCCTCCTGTCTTTGAAAACCTTGATTGCACAGGTAAAAGCTCCAGGGAAAGAAAAGGGTGGGTGGCAKCTAGTTTCAGTCAGATTGGACCTGTGAGGAGGTGAGTTCATAACTGGCTGCAGCAGGGCATAAGAGAGACAGGTAAATATATAATATATTCACTTGCATATCTTTGGGCATGTTACCGGTTTGCTTAGGTAAGATGCTGGGCACAAGCCCAGGACAGAGGCTGTAGCTTACAGGTTTCTGTATATGAAGTAGTTATCCTTGAAAGCACACCTTTCAAGGGTAAGGAGTGCAAACAGGGCTCAAGGGGAAAAAAGTGGCAATATATATATCAGCTATTACTGAAAATCAGTATAAAGCTGTATGTACTGCTTTATCATATGTGAAGCATGGTCTTCCTAAAGAGCCTGAAACCCTCTACTGCACACGAAACCAAGCATTCAGAAAATAGAAARGGAGAAGGAAAGGATATATTGGGGGCATTAAAGAATTTGTATGTGAAACTGTAGCTGCAAAGGGACAAGTTATGGCTTCACCAACCATCCTCTTCATTTCCTTTCCTTAAACCCAATGCTCTACTCTGACACAAGTGATTACACCCTCCTCTCCTCCTTAAAGAAGAAAATAAATTCCATAAAATTAACTCCCTCAGTGCAAGTTCTGTAACTTGTCAAATGGACTTTTTATACCCAAAGTAAATATATATATATATATATAAATATATATATATATATATTTTACCAGCGATGGTTAGCTTGCACAGGCAAAGCTGGCTTCTTAAATGGACAGGACATCCTGGAGAAGTGAAGCTGCCAGTGTAAACTCCTCCACTGCAGACACTTGTCAACGTACAGTCACTGCTAAAATGAGTTGCTGTTTACAACCACTTTCCCCCCTCCCATTTCCTCATCGTCCTTTCCCTCACCCGCTGACATCAGCCGATTTTTATGGAAAAGGAAGTGACGGGAAGAGATACTGATGAAGAGGGGCCATTTGCTCAGGGCTTTACTGGCCTCCTCACCCCCCATCTCCAGTTACACCAATGACTTTACACTGTCTGATMAGTGAGGGGCAGCTTGGGAGTGAGCGAGGCGGGACTCTAGCAAAACACCTTCCCCTACAGCCAGCCACTTCTGGGTTTMCTTGAACACACAGCAGCATGGAAGTAAATGCTTGTACGCGGCAAARCTGCCTTGATACCCCCGGGAGCAGGGAGGTGTTAAAATAATGGGAGAAGACCATGTCACCTTTACCTGACCCTGGCACCCCCGTCTGTTTTTCTACATTGTGTACTTTTGCACGTTTTGCTACCTGCTTTCCCAGAAATGTACAGTCTGACTGGGAGGGCAGCTGGGAATAAGGACGAGCAAAAACAATCAGTGTTGGGGTTACACATTATTCAGTTAATCTACTCTCTCATTCTCTCAAAGACATTAATTTTAGGAGTGAAGGATCAGGCGTCCCTGCTAATGGAAATAGATCAAGGCAGCAAATATCTGTAGAGGGTGGATTGGAGGCAATCTCCGACAATTTGATAAATGTAGGTGTGAAGCTGTTCATAGAGCAGTGTAATCTTTGCTCACTGTTTCTAAGACATTTATGTTGTTAGTCTAAAATTAAATATGGAGCTATACCTCACTGTGCACATTGGACTTTCAGAAGTCCATGCCTTAGGACCACAACTTTTAAAGAAAGCCAGCAAGGCTTCTGCTGCAAAAGGGATGCCTTGAAGTGAGAGGGCTCTGCGTGCAATAAAGAGACTGAGCACTTAAAAAAGGAGCTCAAGAATTCAGCAGTGCCTGTTCCAGCACCAAAAGAAATGATTGATTCTTCCAATAGATTGGCAAGAATTTATAATTGTTTGAAAATGGGGCTTAAAATGAGCAGATTTTGGCAAAGAGGTTATAATGAATCCATCTCCACCAATAAATGCCTGAGGAATTGAAGTTTTCTCCAAAATATCAGTACTTTCATTTGCAATAACCAATTTTATATGTTAAATACATATATGAATAATGGTTAAGTATAGCTTCCTCCTTCTAATCAGAAGTCTCTAGAAGACAGGTCTCTTGAAAAAATACACTGATCAGCAAATGTAAAATATACATAAAATTAAAAAAAAGGGATATTATCTCATGTTTTACTGAGATTTTATCTGTTCTCCTGGCATTGAAATAAAGTGGAGGATAGTTTCTGGGACAGCTTTTATATCAATAATACTTCCTCATTACAGAAAAACCTGATTTTTATAACTTAAAATTGCTAGCTTAAAATGACTAGATAATTTTCTTTTAATGCTCTTCGCATCAGGATTTTACAGTGTTATATTGCTCATGGATATTTATTTCTATGAATAGCATTTGCTACTGCATACCAAGAAGTGCATTGCTGCCATCTTGTGAGCTGCTTAGTTTACAGCATATGAAATAGAAGGGAATTGTAGGATAAAATTTATGTCTTTAGATACAAAATAAAGCTTGTCTCAAACTCATTCTCACACAAGATTTTAAAATCTTATTTACCAGGACACTTAGCTGTGTTCTGGAGACAACATGCATGATGGTTTCTTTCTCCTTTGCAAATAAATTTGATTTCGGTTTTGACAGGAACAGATGTAAGAACAGTTCTTTGAGGAAATGTCTATAAAGAGACATTTATAAGTGACAATTCTTTTCTGCAATGTAAAACATATTGTAGGTGGTCATTGAAAAGAAACATCTTTGTGGGTGAGATTTCTCTTATCTGCTCTACAGATCTACTAGGTACTTATTACATCTCAGTGAAGATAGGTAAGTATCCTGTTTAGTTAGGACAAGTGTTTTTAGGAGAGAATTCATCTGCCCTATCTGGGATACATTCCTTAGCCTGAGAAGAGTCATATCCTATAGGTGTTTTTCCTTCCATATCCTATAAGTCTGTTTCTCTCCACTGAAAGAGCTTAGGTGTCCAGCTGGTGTCTGCACTGGAGATATCCAGGTGCCAATAGGGAAGGTGAATCCCACCATCCATACTCAGGAAACCAGTGCCACTCCTGACCACAGTGCTGAGTGTGTATATGGTAGGTGTAGCATTTGACAAAATTACAGCCTCTTTTTCGCACTGAGGAATAAAATTAAGTTAATGTTATCCTTACATGCTAATGAAACGTATTTTTTTTTTCCTGTGATTAACCGTGAATTATGAAAAAAATAGAAAAAAAAAAAGAAAGATATAATTCATCACTCCTTCTCTAATTCCACCTCCAGGGAAAGTATTTGGAGACAAATCCTGAAGCACTGAACAGTAACAGTCCAATCAGTGCAAGTTCCCTTCCCGTTTACCCAGCAGTGTGGCCAGACCCAGGCAGGATCTGCCAGTCCTGCACATCTGAGCAGGTGCAGGGGGAATCATTTGGCCTGGGGAGGGCTTTTCCTTCATGGCTTTGCTCTGAATTCCAGGGATTCAACGTGAACCTCGTGACCACTGACCGCGTGTCAGCTCTCCATGAGGCTTGCCTGGGTGGCCATGTGGCCTGTGCAAAGGTGCTGCTAGAAAATGGTGCTCAGGTGAGTCCTGGGACCCATCACAAACACTGCTGGGTCATCCTTTATTTACTTATTTATTGGGAAAAAGGTAGAAGTGGCTTGGAATTGCTCTTGGTTGCTCTTTTCTGGAATAGTTTGGGAGACTCGCATAAATGAAAATGGATATGGTTAAAGCAATGAAACATTTTATCTGTTCATAAAATAGCAGCATTTCTCCCTGTTGGACCTAAGCCAAAATACATGGTTAAAATGGAGATACAAGAATAGGATGAAACATATGAGAACACATTTCATTCAGCTGAGTTACAGGATTTTTTAGTGCAATTTGCCTGGCAAGAAGCTGAGCAACACCTGAACAGGCAATCAAACTACACTATGCAGAAGAAAATACATTTTTTAGTTTTCTATGCTACATGTCAAATTTAAATCTCTTAGAAATACGAGAAAAAAAAAGTCTTTCTTTATACTTAAGTTACTTGATTTTGATATACTAATTGAAGTATCTATTTAGAACTTATAGAATTTCTGAATTATTTGTTGCTTTCCTGAGAAATCTGGCCCATTCCTGGTAGTAATGTACAGATACTGTGGTTTTATATATATATATATATATAGTGTATATATATATATATATATATATACACACACATATATATTTCCCCATTTGCTCTTCATAAATAAAATCACTGGGTAGTCATCTAACTTTTAGGAGGAAATGTTCCATTTTGCTACCCTGCTTTACTGCCAAGGTCTTATTTCCTTTTTTTTTTTTTTTCAACAAATCATTTACTCCAGAGCATCTGTGTTATTTTTAACTCTTTTACCAGTACACCAATGCCAAGTGGTGAGGGAAAGCAGAGAAAATGTTTTTCTTCTTCACTTACTTTCTTGCTTGCCCTCTGACAGCAGTATGAGTGAATTGTTGGCTCCGCTGTAAAATACTGCTGGTAGATTCCCAGTACATCCAGCAGCCCCAGCCATGTCTGCCTCTTGTGCCTGCATGGGTGGACCTGTGGCTGTTGGACTGCACAATGAAACCTGTCTGAGATGCAGATACCCCTCCAAATCCAAGCAGACAGCTCTCCCTTATGCTGTGGCCACTGGTAACTCTCCATACAATGCAAGTTTTTCCAGCTCCTGACCCTGCCGTGTTTATTTTCCAGCCAGATCTGTTCCCTGAACTGTTTTTCTATGAAGCTGAGCAAGCAGAGCAAGCACCCAGGAGGTAGGGCCAAACTGACCCAGGATGACTGCTGAAATATGTAGCTGCAACTTCATGAGTAGGGACATTTGCTTGTCCTTGTAAATGTATTATGAATGACCCGTTGGAGCCAGCTGCATTGCCCTGCATTGCAAATGGCAAGGACTGATTTATAATTCTGAAAAAACAGTTAAAGAGTTAATTAGAACAGCATCAGATACAGTTGAAATAAATAAAGGTAAATGCCATTGTGGCCAAGAAGGCCACTGGGATCCTGGCTGCATCAGGAGGAGTGTTGCCAGCAGGTCAAGGGAAGGGATCCTGCCCCTCTCCTCAGCTCTGGTGAGGCCGCACCTGGAGTATTGGGGGCAGTTCTGGGCTCCCCAGTGTAAGAGGGACGTGGAGCTGCTAGAGAGGGTCCAGTGGAGGGCAACAAAGTTGATTAAGGGACTGGAGCATCTCTCATATGAGGAGAGATTGAGTGAGTCAGGCCTGTTTTCTCTGGAGAAGAGAAAGTTGAGAGGGCATTTTAGCAACACGTCTAAGGGGACAATGCAGGGAGGAAGGGGCCAAGCTCTTTGCAGCGGTGGCCAGTGATAGGACAAGTGGCAATAGGTTTATGTCAAAACACAGGCAGTTCCACCTCCAGGTGAGGAAGAACTTCTTTACTGTGAGGATGGCAGAGCCCAGGAACAGGCTGCCCAGGGAGTCCGTGGAGTCTCCTCTTCTGGAGAGTCCTGAAGACTGTGGAGTCTGACGACCTGGAGATCTTCCAAATCCGCCTGAATGCCACCCTGTGCCACGTGTTCTGGGTGTCCCTGCGGGAGCAGAGGGTTGAACTAGATGATCTCTAGAGGTCCCTTCCAACCTCAGCCATTCTGTGCAATGATATTTAGAAAGGTACCAACTAACTGCTTTTGGTCTCTTGCTGAATTAGCTAGAAAAAATCAATAGGTTTTAAAAATATCACCGCATTTCTGCACATTAAAGGCAAAATACCTTGCTAATTAAAACTTACTAGCCAATATATTTCTGCCCTGGTGCCCCCAGCCCTGTGTGGGACTGTGCTTTGCCTGGTAGCAAGCTCCAGCAGCAGTGAATTTCCCTAGTGGTCCAAGGCTCCTCCAGCCCATTCTGGTCTCTTTCCTGCTCTCCTTGATTTAGAAATCTCACAGATTGCCACATGGTTTCATAATCTGTAACATTTTTTTTTTTCAATTTGGTGTAGAACTAAAGAAATAGAGATTTGTTACATAAATTGCCTCGAAGGGCTTGCTACATGGTCAAACTTGGTAAACTTGCACAAAATCAGTGCAGTGTAGAGCCCAGCCTGGACATTGTTCTATTACAGTGGGGAGTGGGAAACAATGAGTTTTATTAGATATTGGTGTCAGAGGTCAAGGAAGCACGTTCTTGCTCCATGACACACACATACATATGAAGACAGGCCCTTGTCACCTTCATTTCTCTTTTTGATTGAGGCTATTTCTATCATGATTTTGTTGTTGTTGTTGTTATTGGAAATGTGTTTTCAGGTAAAAGCATTAAACATGAAGTATACATTTTCATTTTAAAAGCAGAGCCATTTTTGTCTGAAAACAGGAATGAATTGTGGCTTTGGGTTGGCCCATACTAAACAATCATGTACACGACAAAATTCTCCATGGCAAAAAAAGAATTTCCATTTTCTGAAGAACTCTAGGAGGAACATTTATAGTAATCAGTGTCATTGCCTTATAGAAATAGCTAAGAAACTGGGCAGACCTTGAAGCTTAATGTTATATATGTTGTTCTGCAACAACATATAACTGAAAGTTGTGACTAAAATCAGTTCTGAAATTAAGCAAGACAAATGTCGCTTTCAGGGCATTTCTGGTAAACTTGTGATGCTGGCTGTTTACACCACGTTCTTGCCATTCCAGGTGAACGCAGTCACTGTGGACGGGCTCACCCCTCTGTTCAACGCCTGCTGCAGGGGCAGCGTGGCCTGTGTCAACATGCTGCTCGAGTTCGGGGCCAACCCACAGCTTGGGAATCACCTTGCTTCACCTCTTCACGAAGCTGTAAAGAGAGGTAATGTTGAGTGAGGCTAAAGATGACTTACATCAGGTATATATTTTTCGGCCTTTAAGATTTTTTTTTTTTTTTTTAAATATGTACAGTAGGGATAAACATGCTTGGCTCATTCCCACCCACTGTGCTTGTGGATCATACCTGGGTTTGTCATGCTCCGTGGCAGTGAAATAAGTGATGTCTCTTCTTGACCATGCAGGTCACAGGGAGTGCATGGAAATCCTTCTGGCCCACGAGGTGGACATTGATCAGGAAGATGTGCAGCATGGGACACCGCTTTACGTGGCTTGCACTTACCAGAGGACAGACTGTGTCAGGAAGCTTTTGGAGCTAGGTACACCTGGAAAAGGGGCAGCAGGGAGCTGTGGCAGCATGAGCCAGCACCACTGTTTTCTCTGGGCTGTCTTTCTACTGCAAGCATTGCAGGTTCTTCTCATAAGAGACCTTTGGACAGCCTGAACTGGTGACACTTGTTTCAGATAGCTAAAAATTTCACCTGCCTTCATGAAGAATACAGGATTTCCTTTGTAAAAAATCACTAACTACAGGGACTTAACTGAAATGCAGCCTATCTAAATATGGAATAAAGACAGAGCTTTCATTTTCCAGAATGATGCCACAAAGCATAGACAATATTAGCTAATATAGATGATCAAAATCAACTCTTTTGATTATGATAAACTGTCCTGCTGAGAATTAACTTCCTCTACTTCTCAGATAGTGAAGATGGCAGTAAAGGCACTCAGAAGCATAATTCTTCTAGGCCCAGGCACAATGTGAGATCTAGTGCAAATTCTTGCTGCCAGGGCACATCAGGGTAGTTKGCACCTCCTAGAGGTACGGCCCTGCAAGCCGTACCACAGCAAGCCCAGGACGAGCATTTTGCTGGCTGTGCTCCCAAAGGTATTAAAAATGAGGTACAGAAAGTGTGCTTTTCCCCTGGTAGTTAACCCAGTTTATGTAAGTTAGATTTTATGATATTAGAAAGGGTACATAACATATTATAGATTTCAAACATCTCTTGGGTAGAGAGTCAATGAACTTCTGTGCTTACTCAGGTCTGTCAGTCTCAGACAGCATTTGGTAGTTCAATAGATGTTTATACAGCAAGAATGTGATTTGATGAATTTAGTGCTGGGGTTTTTTTTTGAGAGAAAGGAGGGAGGACTGTGTGAGCAATGTCCTTCATTTATTGACATCAGCGTGAGTGATGCAGATCATAGATTCAAGCAGTTTCTGCTTCCTCCTGGCCCTAACCATGCGCTCTCGTTCACCTAAGGAGCCAACGTCAACGTGGGTAAGCGGCTGGACACCCCCCTCCATGCTGCAGCAAGGAAATCCAATGTGGAAGTTGTCATATTGCTGACTGACTATGGTGCTAGCCTGAAATGCAGAAATGCTGATTTCAAATGTGCACTGGATCTTGCTGCACCCAACAGTAAAGTGGCACAGGAGCTCCTGCTTCGGGAAGGTAATGATTCCTTTCCTTCTCTCTCTCTCTCTCTCTCTCTCTCTCTCTCTGTCGCTCTCTCTCTCTCCCCCCCGCCTTCTCTCTCTTTTTTTTTTTAATAGTACAGTATCCATTTCCTTTACTTGAGTACTTTTTTCTTAAGTACTTCTTCATGTACTGCTCTGTGTAAGTTCTCCTGGCATCTYCACCAATTTCAAGCCTAGGGAACGACACAAAAATGAGTAAGAGCTCTCTGCTTTGTTGCTGTATCCGCTGCCGAATATTTGGGTGTTAGTGGGCATCTTGATCAGTTGTTCTATCCTTTTTTTCACATTTATTTATGGAAAATTTTACTTATTTTCCTAGAGGGACATGAGGGACTAAGGATTAAAAACTGCCATGAGATTTTATCCAGTGACATTATGAAAGCTATTTTGGTGGCACCCTCTTGTGTTCGTCTTGGCCCCATGGCTCGCTGCCCAGCTTTCTGCAGAAAAAAATGATGTGCATATGTGTGCCCTTGGTGATGGGGAGAAAGCAGAGGTAGCTGCCCTGTGGCTCTTCAGCTTCTGCCACTCGCAGCTCTTGTGTGCACACTGCAGGGGAGTGTACTAGTTCAAATATGAACTAGCAGTGCCCTATGCAGGCTACTTTTAGCCTCTCTGCACTAGTCATATTGGCCATTCCAGTCCACTCAGGAGAAAATTCTAAGTAGGAAGGAATGTAGATCTGCTTGTGTCATTTTCACGTTTTCTTTTCGTATGCTGTGCAGAGCCAAAAACTTGAGGTTCGTCCCTGAGGCTTGGGCATGTCGACTTAGCTACATCCTCCTCTACCCTTCCTGCTTCCCAGCTCACTTGTACTCAAGCTGGTAGGTGCTTTGTCAACYCAGGAGGGGCTGAAGGCCCTTTCCCCACTGCGGGCAGCCTGCCCAGGCACCTCTGGCTCCCTGCCACAAGGGGATGAAATGCAAGGTGTATGGAGTGGGCTAGCAGTGCAAAATAACTCTKKGATAGCAAATTGTCAATGTGCTGCRTAGACTTTGTGCTGGYCCTCTACATGCAGGTGGGTTTTGCAGGGGAAATGAAACATTGACTTAACATTCTTCCATGTCATTCCCTTCTTTTTCATTGTGCTTTGTGCACAGTCTTAATCTGTCATGTCTAAGAGTGGCCTAGATGTTTTCCACCTCTAGTGACTTCTGTCACAGTAGCTCGGGACTGAGCAATGGTAGGATCCATTAGCAAAGGCAGTGCTTGCAGATGACTTGTTCCAGCTGCCCTACCTGCAGGACATTTCGTGTAAATACAGAAATCTCCCAATATTAATAATTTTCTGTGCTTGACAATCCAGTCAAATGGATTGTAGTGCACTGTGATTCTTGTTAGCTGTTCAGTTTTTAGAAATGAAGYTTCCTTAATATGTGAATTAATTCACATAACCCTTCCGCCCTGCTGTTGGATACTTTGTTTTATCTTACATCTACAGCTGAACATTTTCTCTACTTAATGTGTGTTTTCCGAGGACCTTCTGTGGAAATAAACACCTCAGGAGCTTCTCTTGAAGAATTTCCTTTCTTCCTCCTGTTTTTTCTGCTGTGGTTGCTTAGGTGGCTCCCTCTGCTCTTCCTGACTATTAAGTAATGTGAAATATCAAATGTCGATGCCTTCCTAACTGCTTAAGGAGATAAAGTTTCTTACTTCAGTTTCAGTGACAGTAATACATGTGTTTTCTTCTATATATCCCTTCATTATTTTTCTCTTTCTTTCTTCTAAGGAGTGATTATCAGTCTATTTAGACTCCTAGATTTTTTATGTAGTAAAAACAAATTTAGGTGAAGCTTATCTGGAAGATGAGAGCTCAGGCTTATAAAAACACCTCCCCAGTCTTTCAAACAAACAAAGAAAGAAACTTTTGGCCTCTTCAGGGATCTACTTAGAGCAATTCCACGGGTTAGGACCCTAGAAGGAAGGGCATCCAAAAGAGATGGTTAATATGCAAGCATCACTTCTTCCAAGCTCAAGATTGGTGTATCCCTATAAGGACAAAGTCAGGCAAAGGGGCAAGCAGACCTGCATGAATAAACAAGGAGCTCATGTCAAAGTTCTTCATCAGTGACCTGGATGAAGGGATAGAGTTCACCCTYAGCAGTTTTACAGATGATACCAACCTGGGACGGGTGGCTGACACACCAGAGGTTTTGTTGCCATATAGTGGGATGTGGACAGGCTGGAAAGTTGGGCAGAGAAGAATCTCATGAAGTTCAGTAAGGCCAAGTGCAGGGTCCTGCACTTTGGTAGGAATAAGCCCAGCCACAAATACAGTCTGAGGGCTGACCAGCTGGAGGGCAGCTCCGCAGAGTGGACAAGTTAACCATGAGCCAGCAATGAGCCCTTATGGTCAAGAAGGTCAATGTTATCTTGGGATGTAGGAAGAAGAATGAGACCAGCAGGTCAAGACAGGTCATTCTCCCCCTCTACTCAGACCTGGTGAGGCYACACCTGGAGTAATGTGTTCAGTTCTGAGCTCCCTGATACAGGAGCAATATGGAACTGCTGGAGAGAGTCCAACATACCGAACAAGAAAGATATCAGAGGACTGGAGCATCTTTCCTGTGAGGAGAGGCTAAAAGAGTCGGAACTATTTAGCTTGGAGAAGGGAGAGGGGATACACTGAGAGGAGATATAATCAGATATGCAAATACCTGAAGGGAAGGTGTCAAGAAGATAGAGACAGATTCTTTTCAGTAGTGGACATTGATAGGACAGAAGGCAACGGCCACAAYCTGAAGCACAGGAAGCTGCGCTTGAATTTGAGGAAATTTTTTTTCTCTGCGAGGGTGACAGCCATTGGAACAGGTTGTGGTCTCTTCTTCTCCGGAGATACTCAGAAGCCATCTTGAAATGTGCTTCAATGTCCTGTGCAAGGAGACCCTACCTGTGCAAGGAGGCTTGGCCTAGATGATCTCCATGGGTCCCTTCCAATCTTGACCATTTTGTGGTTCTGTGAGCACCCGCTTCATCTCACCAGAGGAGCCAGGTAGGCAGCACCCTTGGGGTACAGTAAACTCCAAATGCCTGCTGCATCTTACAGCCCCTTGCCATAACAGAGATGAGTCCCCTGGCAGCCTTCTTACCAGTCGGTTCTCTGATATCTAAGAAGTTCTTAATATATGCTGCAACTTTTCCCTTGGGATAAGAGGAGGGCAACACGTCCTCTCTCTCAATCTCTCTCTTATTTTATTTTATTTTTTTTTTTTAGCTCAGATACCTTTTCATACCAAATTTTGTAGAACTTTCTTTGAGGTCTTTCTATCTTATCTATCACATGATAGCTGGCCTACACTGAGCACCCCTACCGTGCCCCAAAATCTGTCTTGTTTTTCTCCTCACRACACTGCTGAGAGTTCCCTCATTTCCTGGGCAGAGGCTATGCCTCCTGGTACTCTGTCTCCAGTGTGAGCATCTTCAGGACATTTTAAATGTGTTTTTAAGAAAAGAAGCAAAAAAATCTAGCTGTGCATGCAGAAAAAAATGGTTTTAGTGCTCATTATTGTCAAGTTGATGAACGAGTTTCTACAAAATATGTCAAATATGAACAATAGCGTATTGAGGTATGCAACTATCCTTGACTTATGCAAGTCATTGTAAGTGTATTTGGATACGCAAGTATAGTGCTTGATCTGATTTTCAAACCTTGTTTGTGTTTGCTAYTTGCCTTATGACTCATCTTGGTGTGTGAGGGGATGCTTGTCTTTATTTTTTTTCCCCCCAGGTCCTGCCAGCCTTGCCCAGCTGTGTCGGTTGTCTATCAGGAAGCAATTGGGTCGATCGTGTCTATATGCAGTCCACAAGCTGCACCTGCCTGAGCCACTTGAGAACTTTCTTCTGTATCGATAAATATGTGACTGTCTTTACACTGGAAAAGAAAGAGGAACAAATGGTTGTTTGCTCCAAAGTTATTATATCAAAGAAAAAAAAATCAAAGACATCATTTACTGTCTRCTTTTTAAATTGAAGCTTTTGGCAAAAAAAACCACTTYTTTTTTTTTTAATAGGTGCTGAATGATATTATGGATATAACATGCCCTCACATTTTTCTGTCAGATCTACTTAAGGTAGATTGAGAAATTATAGTTGAACAGATTACTTGACATGTGTATGTAGATGCAATTGCAGACATCCAGCCATCCCTCCCACACACACATAGCGCACACACACATGGATTTCTCCCGTATTTTCAGGTAATGCCTGTACAGCCTCCTTTTCTTGCCCTCCAGGCTTCAGCTGTAACACTKGAGATCTGATTGCGTTCATTATATGAATATTTTTTCATAGACGCAGTAGGCCAGCTTTCAATGTCTGTTTCTTGCAAAGTTTAAAGAAAATCAAACGAATGAGCTGCCTGCTTTCGTCTTTGTATGTTTCTCAAGATAGATCCTCACTCCTCAGATCTCTGCAGGGTGAGTGAGGAGCAGGGCCTCTGCAAGTAGTTTTGTATTACCTGGATGCTTGCCTTGATGGATATTACTCATCAGAAGTTTGCACACTTATCTGCTCCCTCATCTCTACAGGCTTTCACCACCTCCAAGGGAAAAGGGATTTTTAAAGAGTATTACAGTTTTAGCCACTGGGATAGTAGTTAAAATATTTTAGGATTAGTAGTTTGGATATAGAAGATCTAAAGGCTTAGACCTCTCTGAGCACAGAAATTAGAGATCCAGTAGTTCCTGTTCTACTTGTAGGGCCCTATAAAGATTTATCTGTTTTTCTCCACAAGTTGTTTTGAGGGGCAAAATGTTTCTTTAAACCTGTATTTTGGTATATTTTTGCCACGAGAGGGACAATGGTGATTCAGTGGATTTAGTAAAATAGGATGTAGAGCTAAAAGCCTTCCAAGACTTTAAGGGTTTGAGAGGCAACTACATTCTCAGCCTACGAGACCTAGTAGTTTTATGATAAACCAGCCATTCATGATAGTTTCTAGCTGTTTTCTGGCAATTTCATGGCCAGKATACCTTAAGTCAGGAGAAAAAGGCAGGTTAGTGTCTGAATATCRGATGGATTCCAAACATCTTTGCATTCCTCTCTCTGCTCCAGCAGCATCAGCCTGCCTGGTTTGGTGCTAACCCCTTAATTTCACCATGACAGTTACCCTCTCTGAAAGAGAGGCTAATATTACCCATACTTTTCATGATTAATTCACCACATGTAAGATAAATTTTGCTCCTAGCAGTTCATGAACCAAGGCCTGTAATGCTACGCCAAAAATTAATGTAGTTTTCAGCCTGTGAAGTAGTCCGTGTTTGCACATATTGAATGCTTTTTGACAGCAAGAACTATAGCTCATAAAGTTTCCAGTGACGTGAATGACCTTGCATAGTACTGTGTATCATGAATCTCACAGATTTGAACTCTAAATTCTCAAGAGCATCTGAAAATCAAATACTATCAAGAAAGCAATGTCTATATTAATTTGATGTTAGCAGCTCTCTCTCAATCTTATCTTTACTGTCAGCTCACCTACTCTGTTTATAAAGTGGCAGTCAAAACACCATCTGCTATTCAAACAGAGAGACAGAGCCTCAGCTGTGTGGATTGTCAGAGCTGTATTACGATCAGRGAACTAAGACAATTTATGGGATCTATTTTGGAAGGTGTAATATTGAATTGATTTCCTATTGCAATCATCAATGAACGCAGTATTTCACTTGCATAGGATTTTAAATTGAAATAATGTATCTTCATTAAGGAAATGCAAAGCATATATCCAATGAAAACCTCTTGGAAAGATTTATGTCATGAAGCAGCAGAAGCTGCCCTATATTTACTGCTGATATTAGCTTACCGTCAAAAAATGGCTTTGCCTTTGCTGTCTCCCAGATACATCATTCTTCTTGAAGTACCTCATGTCAGAAATTCTGAGGGAACATAACTTTAGAAACTCAGAAGAGAAGTTTAGAAGTCCTGATGCTAAGAAACTGTCAGAAACTTTACATAGACTTTCTTGCTCTTATTTCAGAAGTGGCTCAGACTATAAAAAGCCCCATTTTCAGCAACAATGATTTAACAACACATGGAAGTTTGACCAAGAAAATAGCAGGAGAGGGTATTTCACTTTTTTTTTTTTCTTACAAATATGCCCTTCTCACGTGAGGCTAGGGACAGCACTATGATAATTTGCTAGGAAATTATGGAATCTCCTTGGTGATTTTTCAGAATAAGTTTGAAAAACATGCCAAGCATGTGAATACAGCTGCTTTTTCTTCAGATAGGAGAAATGCTAACTAATCTCACATGGTCTCGCTTCTTCAAAATGGGAGGCATGTTCTCTGTAATTCTGTGATCATTCAGAAAACAGATATTTAGATTAAATATTATTTTCTTGGGAATATACACATTTTGCTGTACTGAAATAATCTGCTGTTATCAATATGACTTTCTTGCCCAAAATTGCCAGTACTGTCTGCCCTAGTGAAAAATATATTWTATATGTTCATGAATAAGCACAGAATATCCTGAGTAGAGGGAAGGCTTTTTTCTGGCTGCCAACACTTTCTAATTCTGAGAACCAACATTGACTTGCAGCTTAAAAATAGAGCTTGCACTATGGGTGTTCATTAGCCGTAGAGTTGTTGGTCTGGAGAAGTAATTTAAATAGGTTACCAATGCACAGTATAAAACCAAAATATTTCATTTTACAGTTCTCAGTCTGCTGGGCTGCTTTTTGGTTTTCTTATTCATATATTATGAGGAAGCCAGTGTGGACTCAGAAATGCTGGTGATTGAGACCTCAGAGATGTCAAAATACCCAAACACTGGCTTCAAGCTACCGTCATTGCTTGTGATCCAAATCGAGGCAAAGCTAAATGGACTTTATCTTTACTCTAAAATAAATAGAAATACTGCTTATGGTCATCCTACCAAAAGATTGATTTCACATTTCTGATGATCTCCTTTGCAACTTGTCACAATTCTAGTATTTTGTACTAACTCATGATTGTGGCAATTTTCTTCTTGCTTTCACCTTGTCATGGCCTCACTGCTCTGGTCCTGAACTTGCATCCACAGATTTCCTCACAGCTTGTGAGTGCCTTTACTGAGACTCTCTTACTGCGAGCACACCAGCTTGTGCTGAGGATACCCGCTTTGGGAACATGTGTCAGGGGAAGCAAACAAACTGACCCATTTTGAAAGGTTTGGATAAAAAATTTCTCTGACCATAGGTAGCAAAACCAATGTTACATTCTTGTCTAAAAGATCCCAGTTCTGGTCTCCTGACTTGTTCAATTGCCTGTTTGTTCAAATTCCTGACAGGAAATCCTGCCTATGACTGATTTACATATATATATATATATATATATATATATATCTCAGGTGTGCCATAATCCCTGATTTTTACCATTTTTCTATCTGTTAAAAAAAAAAAAAAAAAGAAAAAAAAAGATGGGGACCAGGGAATGGTTACCTTCAAAACTTGTGGCCATACTCCAGGGGCTGAAATCCGGCATGTCTGCTTTGAATGCCAAACCCTGCTCCAAAAGGGAGGGCTGTCTGTCCATATAAGTGCTCCCACTTCATGGACAAGGACATGGCTGCTYATCTTAGGTTGGTGATATGGAGGCCTATATCCTTCTACTCTGTATTCCCTGTATTCTCTATTCATTTAGACTTTTACTCACCACCAATTAAAGTGGTCCCTTGTTTTATGCTAGAAATTTTTTCTGTACTGCCCAGGTGCACACTGTTGTGAAGGGAGGTGCCCTCTCTCTGTGTCACTCACTGACCATCACTTTCTGCAAATCCTGCTGGGTGAGAGGCACAAGGAAGGCTGCTGTTGGCATTTAACAGCCTTCCCTAATACATACTGGATTGCAAATATTAGTGATCAGTCTATCGCAAATATTAGGGCAGTAGCACAAGACTGATTATTTGGCTTTATACCAATGAAAAATAAACACCTTAACTGACTCTCAGCTGAAAATCTGGCCAGCCTATACACTGGACTGACAGTTTATGATGTCTTTGTATTCTTTTTTTTTCTTTTTTTTTTTTTTTTCTGAAATCCTTTTTTTTTTTGCACAAACCAATTGCTCCTCATTGTGNTTTTTTTTTTTTTTCTGAAATCCTTTTTTTTTTTTTGCACAAACCAATTGCTCCTCATTGTGATTTTTTTAATAAAATAAAAAAGATGGAAGAGATGTGTAATATGTCAATGTCAAATGTAGTTTATTCTACACACTCCTTCTATTTTGATTTCTCTCTTTTGAAAATCTTTCTATGTGTTTTATCATTTATAGAAACTTATAAAGTACAGGGAAACAGAAAAAGGTGCCAGCTTTGGAAATGAAAAGTTTTCAATTAAAGGCCTCAGGAGTTGTGGAAGAAAACATCACTTACATGTCTCATTGACAAAAGCATCTAGAACAAGGTGGGAGAGAGAAAGTGGCAGAGTATGTCACTTTGGTCAGCCAAAACAACCCATTAGCCAACGAACCATTGCACCTAAAATGCATATACTTGTTGGCAATGCATAAAGCTTCACGTGCATGGAGATTCTCTTTTTCAACTTATGTTTTAATGAAATTAGACTTAAACACATATTCACAGCCTTCCTTCGTGGTCTTTAGAACAAAACCATTGTAAATGACCAAAAACCTCACGGTCAATAGAATAATTTTTGCCATTACTCACATAGTCCATAATATTATCTTCTACAAGGCTTGGGTTACCAGAATCCCAAACACTTATCTCAACTGTCTTTCATTCATGCAAAAGAAAAAAAAGGTAATTCTCCAACAGTGGGGAAAAAAAAAAAAAGAAAAAAATGATATTTATATTAACAAGGGATTTAATATTCTTACAATTTATACCAAACTTTGAGATGACTAAGAACAGGG